CTAACAAGAGAGCAAGCCTGCCCTTTGAAGCTTTAAGCCAACAAATGACTTCTGCTTTCTAGCTATGCATGTCCTAGATGGCATCTTCTTCCTATAGAAGGCTGTTTTGTCTACATGGAAAATCTGTTGTTCAGTGTAGCCACCTATGTCAATTATCTTAGCTAAATCTTCTAGATAACGTGCTGAAGCTTCTGCATTAACATTTGCTTTTTCACTTTGCACTTTTATGGTATGGCCATAGCTTCTTTTCTTAAACCTTATTAATCATTTTTTACTAGCTTAAGGCTTTTCTTCTGCAGCTTCCTCACCTCCCTCAGCCTTTTTAGAATTGAAGAGAGTTAGGGCCTTGTTCTGGATTAGGATTTGTTTTAAGGAAATGTTGTGGCTGGTTTGATCGATCCAGATCACTAAAACTTTCTTCATATCAGCAATAAGGTTGTTGTACCTTCTTATCACTCATGGGTTCACTAGAGTAGAACTTTTTATTTTCTTCAAATACTTTTCATTCACAACTTGGTTAACTGGCACAACAAAACTAGCTTTTAGCTTATCTTGGCTTTTAACATGCCTTCTTCACGAAATTTAACCATTTGTAGCTCTTGATTTAATGTGAGAGAGGTGAAATTCCTCCTTTCTCTTGAACACTTAGAGGCCATTGTAGAGTTATTCATTGGCCTAAATTCAATATTGCAGAGTCTCAGGGAATAGAGAGGCACAAGGATAGAGAGAGAGAAAGAGGAAATGCTGGTTGGTGAAGAAGTAATGACACGTACAATATTTATCTATTAAGTTTGCTGTCTTATGTGGTCACCATTCATGATTCCCCCAAACAATTCCAATACTAACATTTAAGATCACTGATCACAGATCACCATAATAAAGATAATAATAATGAAAAGTTCAAAATTTTATAAAAAATACCAAAATGTGACACAGAGACATGAAGTGTGCACATGAGTACATGCTGTTGGAAAATGGTGCTGATAGACTTATTCAATTCAGGATTGCCACAAAATTTCAATTTGCAAAAAAAATGCAATATCCATGAAGTGCAATAACACAAAGCATAATAAAATGAGGTATACATACATATATATATATATATATATATAGAGAGAGAGAGAGAGAGAAAGAGAGTATTTTAGTTTCCTAGCTCATATGTCTTAGAGTTGGAGGCAAAGAAGCAGGCAACCTAGAAATGTATATATAGATATCTATATAGTAAAAATATGTTTATCTATCTATAAATATCTATATCTATCTGTATCTATCTCTCTCTCTCTCTAATCAGGCCTATTGGTGAGTATTCAACTTTAAAAATAATTTTTAAATTAGCAGAAGATCACATATCAAATCTTTGCTAAGCAGAAGAATGTTAAAATTTGGTCCCTTGTCATTCAGTTTGGCTATTGCATCATCAAAGAAAAAATCCATTTTAAAGGGAATTTGACAGAAAGAGCCATATTACCCCAAAAGGAGGAAATACTGTTCTTTCTGCTGGATCTTAGACTTCAACACATATTTCTACATTTAAGCTTTGGACTGTCCCAGGAAACAATATTTAAAAGCTTATCATGTTTATTTGTTACATTAGCACATCCATAATTTTATATTATCCTTGTGGAAATATTATTTCTCTCACAAATATTCTTAACATAAGATAGATCATAATGCAATTTAACATGTAAATGTAGCTTAATAAGGAAGAGTTCAGCCTAATTGCTTTCCAAGCCCAATCAAGAAATTTAAGTTAGTTGAGAGCTGACAGTTTGGGAATGCAAAAGATTTGTCTTTACATATTTTAACTAATTAAACTTGTAATTATTCAGTACTTTCCTTCTTTAAGCATTTAAAAACCACTTTTCAAGTAAATTTCCTGTGGTGTAGAGCAGTAAGTGATCATCAGCTACATTCCTCAAATAGAAAATGTGAGGTAATAGCATTTATCTATGGTTTCCTTTCTGCATTATGTTTATATTAACATGGCTGAAAATTTTCCAACAGACATTGTAAATGCGCCAAAAAGTATGCACTCAGTTATTTGCCTTAGAACTGTTTCAAAATGGTTGTCATATTTCCTTGAATGTTATTATTAGAGAACTATAAATTGTTAATAAATATAGGTGGGGATTCTTGTCAATATTTTTCACAGAGATGTTTAGGGCAGCTGCCACTGGTCAGGGCTAATTATGTATCTAACTTAGGTAGAAGGCTGTGTTTCTTTGACTGGAAGAGTTGGGTGGAAATTTGCTAAGATTACCTACATATTGAGCAACATAAATCTATATGACTCAGATTGCACAGATCACAAATTTGAAAAAAATTCACAAATTGTGAGTGAGAGTGGAGTCTTCTCAAATATCCATTTACACAATTTATAATTTTATTATAACTTTTATTTTGTATCTATAATTTTATTTAGGGAAATGTTTATTGACCCTAAATAATTTATCAACTGTAGGCTTTTGTTCTAATTCAGTGTGACTCATTTACTAGTCTACCCACCAAGTTGATGAGTGTAATATTTCTATATGCCTGAAATATTACCTTTTTAAAATTTGCTGAATAAAAACAATTACTACAATAACCATAGTGGCCTATATTCCAGTAGCAAAATTACTATCTCAAGCAAAGGAAGCCTTTGTAATTGGCATTAATTAGTCCTATTGGACAGAGGCTATAAAAGACAAAAATATTTTTTCACCTACACAAGAGGTTTCAAAGGGTCAGGCCTATCAGTGGAGCAGTTGTAAATAAATTTTGAATGGTCATTTTGAGCTAACATGATCAACTTCCTGTGCCTATTCCATTATAGTTGTTTAGTATCTGATCTGCCAGATGAGCTTCAGAAGAAACAGAATAAAGGTAATAAGGTACAAAAGGGTAAAGGAGTCATGGTGAAGGTTAGATTATATACAGATGCAATTTACCTAACTCTAATTTTCTATAGTTAGGGAATATTTAGTTTTAATAATGTTGATTACAAAATTAGAAAAATCATTATACTATCACAAATCTATATATATTTTATTTTAAAGAAGGTCATATAAAAATTTCTCTGGGTTTTTATTTAGGCAATTATGAATTATATTTTCATCCTCATATTTTTAAAGCAGGAGGTCTATTTAAATTATTGTAATTGAAGAAGAAATTGTTTTCTTATTAAAGAGAACATTTATAGTCCTTAGGATATTGTGTTGTTTATGTTTATTGGAGATGGTGAAAAGAAATCCATCCTATTGAAAGGATGTGCAGACACGTGTATCAATTGTTATCCTTTCCTAAGAGGAATAATCACACCATATAATATTCTTTGACTATTATAAAACTGTTATTCATTTTTTAATCAATGAGGTCAAACCTTTATCCCATAATTATTAAGTAAAAATATTCTCAAATTACATTAATTAAAATAAATCATGACATTGAGTAATTTCTTCTAATTGGGTTAAACTTTACATCCTTATTTAGCATGATCTTTGAACATCTCTAAATACTATTTTTGTGTGATATTCATACGCAATTAATGCATTTTAACTCAGATGGTTCTGCAAAACATTAAATCTAATTTATTTACGGCATTAAGAACATTTCTATAAGGAAAAAAATTTGTCTTATCATAGATGGTCCATGTTTTATTTAGCTCTTTAGGTTATCTTCTTTTTGTTTCCCTAATTCTACTTCTTTCCTCCTCTTCCCTCTCATCTCCCACCTCCCTCTCTTTTCCTTCTCCTTCTTATAATTGCCTTCTTGCTGCTCCTCCTGGTCTCTTTTTTGTCTTATCTAGTTACAACATAAACAAAAAATATCTCACTACATTTTCCCTCATTTGTGTGTGTGTATATATAAACTGTCAGATATGAGTTACTAAAGTGAAAATCAATATAATAAAGTACATGATTTTCTTAAATTAAAATATTCTACATATTTAAAGTATTATTAAACAGGGTTTAATTATTATTAAACAAGTATTATTAAACAGGGAATTTGACCAATAATGCATGCAGAAGGAAATAAAAAAGAAAAAAAGAAAGAAGGGATTAAGGAAGTGATAAACTCGAAGTGATAAACTTCAAATTTATGTTTTAGTCTACAAATATTTCAATCACCAACAGAGAGAAAGATACCATATTAGGTTTAGGAGGAAATTAAGAAGGATAGCCGTAATCACAAGAAGAATGTGCCTTATTAGAATGAAAAACAGCAGAAAATGAAAAGACATTTAAAATTATAAATAACTGGTGATAAACTTATAGATAATTGTAATAAACTATAAAAGAGAATTAAAATCTGGAAATTAAGAATCTGAAAGTATTATTTTCAAATAATGAATCCAATGGTATCAGGAAAGATGTTTCTTGAGAGTAATTTCCATTGGGTTCTCAAGCATCTATTTTGTATCAAGGATTGTGATAAACACATCATTGCAAATAATAAACAGAACAGTTACATAATATCTACAGTTTACAATTAAACGAATATAATTTGATAGAAGTTAGATTTTCTTTGGCTAGTTCAGCTAATTAATGTGCAGATACTTCAAGTGCATAACTTTCAAAATAAGTCTTTTGTAAATGATGTCTCACACATTACACAGGCTCCTTGACTTACAATGGGTGATGCCCCAATAAATCCATTATAAAGTCAAACTGTCCAAACTGAGCTGACCCATCCTAAGTGGAGACTGATCTTGTAAGGGAACATGCATTTGTATAGGCAATAGGTTTCTTAGGCCAATCTAAGTTGACTGCCCTCGTGTTTTTTCCGGCCCAAGCGGTCTGGCTAGCCAGCCTTCTGGGGAGGCGTGAGTCAACACATTTATGTAACCAAGGTGTTATCTCCTATGTGGACTTATGTGATCACACTTTCCCATAGCATGTTGTCATTATTGTTCAGAGCCATATATAAGCGTTTGCCATGTTTTTGGCCATGCTTTCTGACCGCTGATGTATCCACCACTACCCCCACGCCCCCCATAATAAAGAACATGTCTCACCTACCTGATGCCACTCGCCTTTCTTCTAATTTCCAAAGGCTTCACCGGAGCACACACTAGCCGCAGAGCTTCCTCCTCACAGACCTGGATTCTGCGAACATTTGAAAAGTGAACATAGAACTTGAAAATGATATTTTAAGTGATCAAAAAAAAATAGGATAAGAGACAAATGCAGACAATTCAAATAAAGTTCATAGTCCAGCTCAGCAAGAATACGTTGGCTGAACTGCCTAAGTAGCAAGCACGGACAGCTGACATTAGAAAATTACCCTTCATTCATCAAGTCACGGGAATCATTGCTTATAGTTTCACTTCAGATATTTAAATTTGTAATAATAAACATCTGAGTAAAATGATAGTAGGTAAACCTGACTAATATGAATTTTTAAGGTATAGAGGCAAGATGGCGGACGAGAGACACCTCCAGTCAGAGTGTCTCAGCAAGAAGGAAAGATTTTAGATGAAAGTGAAAGAAACAAACAGGAAAACAAACTTGGATCAATGAGGGTCAGAAAGAAGGGTGCCTGAACGTACAGGAGACTCCATTGGAAGAGTTCCAGAGCAGAATTGGAAGGGGAAAGGCATCAGCAGGATCTAAATCCTTGGAGACCAGCGCCTAGGCGGAGCGGTTAAGTTTCCCCTCCCTTTTATCTCAGACCGCTGGTGGGCTCCCAGCTGCTGGAGAGACCTGCTGCCACCAGCCCAGAGACCACTGCCGCCAGTGGCCAGTGAGCGGGGAGCCTCTGGCACACAGGGCACTGGACTCCCGGTTCCCTCGGCGCGCGTCCCGCCTCACAGATCCCAGCCAATGAGCAGGTGCCATGTTACGTCATTCTCCCGTTCTGTGAGGAGAAAGCTCTGCGGCTAGCACACCTCCCCGAGCCCGCTTCGGAAATTGGAAGAAAAGGGGAGTGGCAGCTGACAGGTGAGATCTGCTCTTTATTGTCAGAGGATACAGCAGCGCGGAAAAGCATGGCCGAGAACATAGCAAGCACTTATATATGGCTCTGAACAGTAGGGGCAACATGCTATGGGAAAGCGTAATCACATGGGTTCACACAGGAGATAAAGCCTTGGTTACATAAGTAAGCTGACTCATGCCTCCTCAGAAGGCCTGCTAGCTGAGGAGCAGGCCAGAACAAACGCTGGGGCAGTCATCTTAGTTTGACCTAAGAAACCCAGTGCCTACACAAATGCATTTTCCCTTACGCTTTCCCCCTCCACCACCTAAGGCTGCTGAGAGACACAATTTAGCCACCGCCAGGAGGCATCTATAGGGAATGTCCAAATGTTTCCTCTTGGGGCCCTGCAGCAAGCAGACTGAGGGATACTCAGATTATGAGCTCCCTACCGCCCAGTCCTCCCTGGTGCTGTTTTCCTGGTGACTCCAGGAGAGAGGGACAAACCCCAAGACAGAGAGACATTCATCCAGCTTGGCCACCCATGGGAGACTTGAGACCAGCGTTCTTCTCCCTGCCCGGGTCAGGATTTATCTGTGCAGCTCAAGTCATAGGCCTGCAGGCCAGATCCGAAATACCATTACAGAAATAATAAATATTCAGATAAAACAAACTGATACAAAATTATTGGTAAGGAAGAATATTAGTTTGAATTTTGCTTTTTTAGTATGTAATGCAATGGCTGAAGCAGAAGCAGCTTTTCTTATAACTTAGTATACACCTACGTTAAATTAAAATTTAGGCACTTCAAATTAAACAAAGAAAAATAGGTATCAACCTTAATCTCCAATTTATATACGTGCAGATAGATCTGAGTAACCAAACAGGAAAGTAAGGAAGAAATACAATAACCTACCATACATGTAGAAAGGGTAATAGTGACCTCTATGTAGTAGTAGTTCAAGAATAAGTAAAATGTAAGGAAGAAAAAGGAAATACTGGTCAAGAATATAGATATAAGAAACAGATGAAATTTTAGGAAACAACTACCTGATTCACTCAAAAAACTCAAAAGCATATGGAAACTGAAAAGAAACACATGCACAGGACAACAGAAAGGAAGGAAAAATATAAAAAAAGAAAGTAACTGAAGTAAATAAATATTCAGCACTCTTTAAAAAATTTATGGATATAGAAAAACTACTAAAATACATACTTTTGTCAAAAATGATTTAAAATCAAGGTATTTAAGATAATAGACTAAAAATATTTTTTCTCATCATTTTTTGACAAAGGTAACAATTATACAGAGGTAAAGATCCTGAATAAATCACTGTCTTATCCATAGATCATCTCAAAAAGTATGGAAGATTTATTGAATCAAAGTATTTTAAAAAAACTTTTGACCAGCCATTGGCTTATCATTAATTTATACTGATCCAAGGATAACATTTTGAAGTCAAACATAAACATAAAAACAAGAAACAAGAAAATTAACAGACACATCAGTGGTGATCCACTGTGGGGAAGACAGAATCTACAAAATTAATTCTAACATAATAGGAAAAAAATAAGCAAAGAAACAATAATACCTGAGTAAGTCAGTGGACAAAATCCAGAATTACCATAATATATATATATATATACATATATATATACATATATATATACATATATATAAAACACTGAGATGCTAAGCAAAAGTTATGAGACATGTCAAAAAAGAGTAAAGTACAATCACATATCAGAATAAATAAAAATTAGCAGAGCCACTGAGACCTTGCAAACATAATTGAGAGTGTCACTATAGGCATAGTGAGAGTTCTAGGAGAGAAGTTAAGAGAGAAGGAAAAAAAAGGTCAAAAAAATAAAAATTGAAGAAATACTGGGGAAAAATTCCACACGTTTGATGAAAGTATTAAATACTCAAGAAGATCAGTAACTATAATTAGTATAAATTCAAAAATATCCATGCTTGGACACATCATAGTCAAACTGTTGAAAGCCCAAGACAATGAGAAAATGTTTGAAAGTAGCAAGAGGGAAACTACTTATTGTATAAAAGTGAATCTCAAAAAGATTAAATGTTAACTTCTCCTCAGAAACAATGGAGAGAGGCTAGATGGTAGTGGTATGAAATATTTTTAGTAAAAATAAAAATTCAGTAAAGAATTTCATATCCAGCAAAAGTATTTTTCCAAAATTAAAAAATAAAATGAAGGCAAAATAAAGATATATTCAGGTAAAAGAAGACTGGGAAAGTGATGTGTCTCAAGTGTTCTCACAAAAAATACTAAATGAAGAACTTCAAGCTGAAAGGAAGTGACACCATTGATAACAATCTAAACAGTGAAGTAGCACTCATAGGGGTAATCATATCATAGAAAATAAAAGACAATATATGTATTTTTCCCTCTTCTCTATTTGATATAAAATGATTATCAATAATAATAAAAAGGTATTTTATATTTAAAATATATAAATATGTAATATATAAAAAGAGAAGAGTAAAGAAATGGAGTATATTGCAAACTTTCTTTATTTTACTAAAGTTAAGTTACTATTATTCTAAAGTAAAATTTTATAAGTTAAGATGTATAATGGCCATAATTAATGGTCAACAGATTTAAAATGGTACACTAGAAAAATATCCATTTAACCAAAAGATAGCAATAAAGTAAGAACAGAAGGGGGGCAAAGAAAAAACTATGTAATCACTATCTTTAATACTTCATATCTAATGTATTTTAATGTTGATCATACTTTCCAAATAAAGCTATCATCTTTCATCTTTATAACATTTACATTCAGTAAGTCATGTCAAAATGGCTGTATTTTTTTAACCAGATGAAAAATAAATCTATATTCCTAGAATAACCAAAAAGAAAAGAAAGACATTTTTGGCATTTGAACAGCTTTTCACTACTCAATAAAATAAAATGTCATTAATACGCTACTATTTAACTAAACTTCTATACCCTTTCTTGATAATCATTGATTTTAAAAACATTGTTTTCCTCTGGAAATTGACTTGGCTTATGTATCATTGCTGTGATGATTTTAATATAAAACTTTCTGTATATTGCTTTATGCTAATAAACTCTCAAGATTAAAGATACCATTTCATCAAATAAATTCTGCAATTTTAGAAACAACCACATTTTGCCAATCTATTAGGTGTATATATTTGATTACTCTGCACCTGTGTGAAATGATCATTAAAGCAGTTTGTATTCTGAGTGACTACAGAGTCAGCTGGCCTCATATTGATATTATCTTCTATTTATTTATGTACTAAGCCTACCTAAAACATCAGACTCATAATGAGTAGCACAAGACACAAAAATCTATTACATCTACTGTGAAGTACATAAGCCAAGTGGGTTAAGAAGTAGAATGTGGGTGTTTTATGCATCTTGTTTTAGAAACTTTCTTAATTCTCCATTTAAAAGCTAATAAAAATGTAATAATCTTATTATTATATCATTGATCACAACTGTGTAACAAAATGTAATACATATTTGTATGAAACCTGAAGAAGTCCACAACTAATTTACCAACTCTATAAATAAAATTTGTATAAATATAGCTACCAGTGTTACAAGCTCTGAAAAATTGCTTGTGTAGGTAAAATTCACTTTACATTAAACTACATTTTCCTGTACTCAAGGAAAATAATAATAAGCCAAATATTTACTATATTAATATTTAACTCATTCTTAAAGTTTAACAAATTATTAGATATAACAATGTGATTGCATTTTTTCCAGAAACTCTTACTTATATTCTCTCTTTTGCATTAAAAGATGATAGTGTTTTAACCATCAGAATATGTAGTATACCTGAAAATAGTGATGTGAATTTTCATGGTCCCTGTGCATCTTACATGCCAACTGTGTTCACTCTGTCCTTTGATAGTCAAATAAAATTTAATCTGAACCTCCATTCCACATGGATGCATGACCCAGCAATATCCCTCTCCACATCTCAGAAAATTCTTGAAGAGATTTGTTTCTCCAAGGGACAAAGCATGGAGTGCCTCTGGGATCTCATATTTATTAATTTTGTTTTTTGTTTTTTGATTTTTATCATCTAATGCCTTCCTTTCTCATTTTCTAATTGCTCCACATTGGGAGCTTTTTTTAAAAAAGCCTACGTGACAGATTTTAACTTAAGATGCATATAGTAACATGGTCGTGGCAGTGAAGGCAGGTTACATAATAGCTAAGCTGACAATGCAAAAATAAATATTATATATCCCTATTATTACAAGGCCTTTAGCCACTTTACTGTGAGATGTTTCTTATTAGCCCAATTTTTTAGCAGTTCCCAAAAGCCTAGGGGTATTTCCCATTTTGTACACGTTCCATTTTGCACTTTCTTTTTACATTTCTTTGGACTACTTGCCCCAACTTACACATTCCTACTAATTTGCCAGTTGTAGCTTTTAGCTCTTAATTTGTAGTTGCTATTTGATACATCTCCATCCTTTGTCACCTTGCTTGGTATCCTGAGGGTCTAATGTATATGGACTGCCGGCAAGGGCTCCTTTTTTCTCTGCTATTTAGCTGGCTTTAAGCTATGGGAGTTATCAGCAGGAAATCAAAGGTGGCAGAGGAATAGAGGAGGGTAGCTATCCCACTGACCCTCACCTTACTGGGTTACCATGTGTTTACTCTGTCCCTCTATATAAGAACACTGTTCCTGCATGTGGCTCAGCCTTGCCTTCTGAGCCCTAACTTCCATACCAAAAAGTCTATCATGATTTTCTTTTCAACCAAAAGAATCCTTTCTAGGAAAAAGGTATGGTGCCTGTAATAACTATAATATTTTTCTTACCCTCCTATACACATCTAAAGATGAATCTTTGGTTTGTTGTATTATGATGATGATGATTTTGAAATAAGCCACACACACAAAAAAAACAAGTGATGATTATGCAGAGCTTTGTAGATTTTGACTCTCTTATGAACTGACAGAGGGATCAAAATATAATGTGTCTAATTATACCAAGAGAGACATAACC